TCAAATGATTAATTGTTTTTACATTTTTCTAGATAGAAATACGATAGAACCAATATTAATATGTACAGTGATGATATATAACTGCTCTTTGATTGTGGTGGCTAATATCATAAAGATTTAGAAAAATTATAATAAGAATATTGATAATATATTTGAAAGAAAATATATATTATAACATATCTGCTGTCATTCACCTTATTTGGATTATCCATAAAAATCTTTCTTTCATATTTGTTACGAATAAATTTTTCCATTTCACTATATACAATCAACCCATCAATAATTAATAATATTATTTAGGAATAAAGGATGTTAAACTTTTAAATTAAATCAACTAATTACCTATCAGAAGCATTAACCGGAGCAGGGTGAATTTCAGGATGAGGATTCCATTTAAAATTTGCTTTTAAATTTCCCCATTGTCGCATATTCTATTACATATATACAAGTATATAAGTATATATTTAATTTATTCTAAATTTAAAAATTATCATTATTATTATAATTACCTCTATTTGTTCAGGTGTCCAAGAATCTAAAGTTATTGATTTAACTTTTGATATGTGAGTTCCCATTTTACGATGCAAACCACCACAACGTATACATAAAAATATTCCAATATTATGAGATGCCCAACGTGGTCCTAAGTACACAAAAAAAAAAAATTATTATAAATGAAAAATAGATTATGATGAAAAAAAAATTTAACTTTTTTATTTTTTTCTTCAACAATAACTAACCTTTAGAGCCACAATCAGCGCATACATCGTTTCCTGATTGTTTTGTCAATTCAAGTAAAATACGTTCATGTTTTTCGTTGACAACTTTTTTAACCCTTTCCATAGAAGAAGCCATGGTATTATGAATTTATTTGAATAATATAAAGCAGTTTTTATATATATTTAAAGAAAGACGCAATTTATAAAGGAATTTTTTTTTTTTTTTAATACAATGAATGATATATTATTATTAAAGACTGTGTTTTTTTCGTTTTAATCAAATTAAAAAGTGAAAAAGAATAAATAAAAACGATTTAATTTAATTTAATTTAATTTAATTGTTTAACTGATACGGTTCAGTGAGTGAATCAATTTTCCTTTTAAGGGACGCTTAGACATACAACCAAAATAGGAAAGTAAATTGATGATGATGATGATCAATTGATGAATATAATCTGTAAGAAAAAAAAAATTTTTTTTTTTTTCTCTGGATCATTTTATGTGAACGTATGCCACGATAAACTTTTTTATTTTTTTTAAAAAATAGGTGAAAGTTTATTGCCAGAAAAATATTTTTTCGAATTGTTCACTATATTAAATATGATACCAGTTCATTTATAGGAACCAATAACCAAAATTTTAAAAAGTGGGAAATTGGGCCGAGAGAACTGGTACACTTTCATATATAATAGTAATAAAATAGTAGCGAAATACATTTTTGGATATTGATATGTATTCTAACAATTCTAACAAGAATGTTGTTATATTTGTAAACTTCAATTATAAAAATAATAAAAATAAACTAAATTTTAGTTCTTATAATAAATTAATTTAAAAATTTTAATATAATAAATAAACAAACTTGATTATATAAATAATAAATAAAGACCCCACGACTTTGTTTGTTCATTACCAGCCGGTTACCAGTTATTGACCTTTATTTTTGACGACAACAACCAACTATAACACACCTTTACAATACAGAAATGGAAAATGATCGCGAAAGCGAAAATAACAATACCCGAAAAACTGATAAGGTTCCTCAAATGCAAATTTTAAATGATTCTCCTTCTATCCAATCTTCAAATCAAGCAACAGCAACAACTTCTTCTACTCCTGCCAATATTACAAAAGATGGTAAAAAACGTATTCGACCCAATTTTTTAATAAGGTACTAAAAAGATATATATTTTTCATTAGTTGTTATATTTATTTATTTATTCACTTCCCCGATAATAAAATTAATTTAGTACCTCATCTACTTCATTTACGAAAGCTACATCGACGAATAATAACATTTCATCATCGTTATCATCATTATCATCATTATCAACAACAACAACAACCTCAATATTAAATAATTTCAATCAATTAACAACAAATTCTGATACTAATCCACCAAATAATGAGATAAGTAGGGAAAATGCATGCATTGGAAATAAAAGAAGAAAAGAGACGGTGCTTTTGGATTCAAACACTGGCTCTACTTTACCAAACAAAAGGCCAACACTATCTGCTGCTGGTGGTAAAGTGAATGGTGGAACACAAAATCTATCATCATCATCAACAATATCAACATCAAATAATAAAAATGATAATATAAGATCATCAATGATTACTCCATCGGTTGTCATGTCACAAGTTCGATTGTCTTCTCATAAAGTCAAAGAATTTCTTCTTTCCAAAAATTTATCTGAATATAAGAAAGATCTTAAAGTTGAATGTCATAACGATCGGCAAGGTAAAAATTTTTTAAAAAATTATTATGTATATACATTTTCATATATGTGTACGTATATATTTTTTCTTCTTAGGTCTTTCAAGAATTGTTTGTTCTCTTAACAAAGTAAATCTTTGGAGCGATGTTGTTCCCAATGCAGTAACATTGATTGCTGGTAATGATAAATATGTCGTTATTGGATGTGAGAATGGTAGTATTATAATATATGACCATAGTGGCTTAAGGTAATAAATAATTGTTTTGATTAGATGATAGATAATTTATTCGTTATATTAAAATTTTTCCCTAACAAAAAATTTCATCTATAGATTGTTATTAAATATTGTACTTGACTCGGCTGCATCACATCTATTAATATCAAGGGAATATTTATTATGTTTATCTCAAACGGGAATAATTAATGTTTGGTAAGTAATAGTTTAATGATGATGATGACGATTGTAAAAGGAAGATTTTTTTTGAGAAATAAAAAAGACATGATTATTTTATTTTATTTATAGGAAACTACCAAAATTAGAATCAATAGTATCGTCTGTTTCCATAGTACCTATTATTCAACCATCCAGCACATCGTTAGCTGATCTTCATTATGCATCAATTGAAAAGATATTTATCAGGCCTCGTGGGGTACCAATATTAATGACAGACACAAACGAAGCATGGTGTTATCATCTTAGTGCAAAAACATGGGTGCAGATTTATGATCCACGCTACTCATCAAAAGAAAAAATGAAAACTACCACAGAAGAGTATGGTGGTGACGATACAAGAGGAATATTAAATACAATAGAAAAGATTGCAAGGGATAGAGGTGATAATTATGGTACATTGTCATATTTGGCCCAAGGCGAAAGTAAACTTGGACATTTGTATAATCAATTGTTGTCAGCTGAATTGGTTAGCTCACCTAATGAATACAAAGAAATTTTGTTGAGTTATGCTAAAGCATTAGCTGATGTTGGCAATGGTGAGAAGATAAATATACTCTGTTCAAGACTTTTAGATACATTTGATGTTTGGTATAGTATTAATAATTTATTGTTATGATTATTATTTCAACTAATCTATTATTAATGATTAATATATTCATCAATTTTATTAGTGCAAATGGTGTAAACAGGGATCGTTTTATAGCAGTATGTGATATACGTACACATAACAGATATTTATTTTTTAATGTTTAATCTATTTATTAATTATCAATTCAAAAAATATATTAAATAGGGAATGTCTAAACATGAATTATTAAAAGACGTATTGGCTATCTTATGTAAAACTAATACTAAATAAATTTTAATTTTTCCAATTCAATTCAAATACAATTCAATACAAATTTAAATTCTCTAAAATTTATTAAATTTATAATATCTTTTTATATGTATTCAGCTACTAATCGATCTTTACAACAACTCATTCAAGAATATACTTTGGCTTTAGATAGAATTACAAATGAAAATTAATCATGAATTTAGAAAATTTTTATTGGTTATTGTTAAAGGTATTTCATTGGTTTACAAGATTTATTTATTTATTATTATTATTACTATTGATCCAAGTAATAATCATGGATGTTTTATTGAAAATCATATTGCTTAGTAATTTGGTAAAAAATAAACGTTAATTAAATAAACAAAATGTGTTTTAAATTTTCTATTTTTAAAATAAAGCAAATAAATGAATCTGCCAAATCAATCGATCGATCAATCATTAATTCAAAATATTGTTTTAATTTACTGGTTTTTTAAGCATGGTGAATACAATTAAACCCTGCCACAACGGATTATAATTAAATTCGCGTTATATAATAACGATAAAATGTTACACGGGTCATTTATGCCAGTTCCATAATAATAATAATAATAAATTGTTATCTCCTACTAATTTTACACTAACTGTCAGAAAGATCTAAGGTCTATTACAGTCATACCTCTTTTATATCCTCCTCTTGTACCAGTACTTTGATGGGTATAATTGAGGTGAAAGCGGTTGATCATTTCATGTGATTTTTAATTTAACATTTTTTTTTTTGTAGTTTCAAATGCTTTCCTTCCTTCTTATATTAGAAATAACCGGTTCATTTCCTCTTCCTCTCCTATTTCAATATCTTTGGATTTCTAGACACCTTCTGAAATGAGAATATCTTCGACAATATTTTCATCAGTAGGCAATTCAGTTGTTATGATACCTAAATCAATTCTTTATTGTTAAAAGGAATCAACCAAGTTGCCATATAAAAAAAAGCGAATAATTCATACTAATTTCTTTGTTGTTTGTTAAAGAGAATAATTCATTCATATCAAAAAAAAAAATTAAAACGTTAAATTGCACTTGTATATATGTACAAATAAGTTTAAATTAGGATATAACTCAAGCAATTGGTTTATTAAAATAATATAGGGAAACCGTCACAAGGTTAGGAAACAAAGCGAACATTTGTATTACCAAGGATTTGATATAAATTACTACATTTTTTTGGAACCAACAACAAACCAATAAAACTAAATTAATTAAAAGTGAAGGCACTAATAGTCAATAATAATATTTGTCCAAGAAAACTTTTTTGAATAAATTAAAACTCATTTATGCAAACATTGCTCCGAAATTGTTAATACATCTGATTTGGTGAATTTTCTCTGAGCAGTGTTGACATTAACAAGAAAGCAAAAAACCCAATATTTTTCAGTTTCATGTGTAAAAATAGTAGCAATTAAAATGAATTTTGATAAATCCACTTCTTTATCAAATAATTTAGCATTTTGTTCAGTAACAAAACTGGTAATAAAGCTTCTTCCAAGGCTTCTCTGTTTTGGGAGATTAATGCAAATCTCTTTGGGTTTTGTGGTTATGCTGATTAAAATCGATTAAATTAATCTGGCCTTTTAACAGGGTTTAATTCTTGCTATGTTCTTTCCCAGTCAATAGATTAGCATGAGAAAAAGCTTTAATTTTTTTTCCTTTCAAACCTTGTCGCGGCAGATGAATGGGATACATAAAAAAAAAATTTACTTAAAAATCCCATTATGACAAGGATCTAATTATAGTCTGCTATGGCAAGGAATTCATTTAGAATGTTATTTACATTAAGATTATCATCATCAGGTGATTATATACCACCAGATCTACCACCAGGCATGTGATGGATTCATTAAGCAATGAGGGTGTTTTGGGAGTTACATTTGTATTATATGGTAGTGTCTCAATTGTACATGATTCCCAAACCATTTGGGGTTATGTCATCCCAAATGTACAAAGTGAATTTGGGGCAGTATGTCAAAGAATTCCCAAATTCCAAACTACTAACAACCTCTTTGGTGCATTATTTTATTTTGGGATTTTACATTTGGGATGTGCAAAGTAATTCGGGGTTCTTGATTTTTAATTTGGGCAGCACATATAGTCTCAATACATTCAAATTAGTCTGATGAAGCACTCATTTGTAAAATGAAAGAAGTTGATTGATGTAGGTATACCCTACAAAAAATGTATATATTTGAAATTTGTGTATGAATGTATGAAAGTAGTGTTTATTAATAAAATAAATCATTCTATTTAAATCACTTTTATTGTGGGTCTCTATTTATATCAATAAATCCACTTTCATCATCATCAAGATCAAATTCTATCAATTTTTCCAATGACTCTATTAAATTTTTTTCAGCTTTGACATTTTTTCTCCAGATAAATGATGGATTAATTTCTTCTGCTGAAGGAGACAAGTTATTTATTAATAACTGGAGGCACAAATTTTTTTTTTGTATATCTTTTGTTTATATCTTATTGCGATCGAAATGTGGAATGGGAGTTTACTAGGTATTTATTATTATAGGATTCTTATCAATAAATAAATTTGCCTTTTTGTGATGGATTCATTAAGCAATGAGGGTGTTTTGGGAGTTACATTTGTATTATATGGTAGTGTCTCAATTGTACATGATTCCCAAACCATTTGGGGTTATGTCATCCCAAATGTACAAAGTGAATTTGGGGCAGTATGTCAAAGAATTCCCAAATTCCAAACTACTAACAACCTCTTTGGTGCATTATTTTATTTTGGGATTTTACATTTGGGATGTGCAAAGTAATTCGGGGTTCTTGATTTTTAATTTGGGCAGCACATATAGTCTCAATACATTCAAATTAGTCTGATGAAGCACTCATTTGTAAAATGAAAGAAGTTGATTGATGTAGGTATACCCTACAAAAAATGTATATATTTGAAATTTGTGTATGAATGTATGAAAGTAGTGTTTATTAATAAAATAAATCATTCTATTTAAATCACTTTTATTGTGGGTCTCTATTTATATCAATAAATCCACTTTCATCATCATCAAGATCAAATTCTATCAATTTTTCCAATGACTCTATTAAATTTTTTTCAGCTTTGACATTTTTTCTCCAGATAAATGATGGATTAATTTCTTCTGCTGAAGGAGACAAGTTATTTATTAATAACTGGAGGCACAAATTTTTTTTTTGTATATCTTTTGTTTATATCTTATTGCGATCGAAATGTGGAATGGGAGTTTACTAGGTATTTATTATTATAGGATTCTTATCAATAAATAAATTTGCCTTTTGTAACTGTGATTGTTCCTTTTTCATAATTAATTAAAATAATACCATCATTTACTGAAGACATTTTTATCGAAGCATTACAAATATTCGAAAGTATTACGGATATTACGAATATTCAAATATATAAAAATTATTTGACTCCGATTTCGGATATAATTTCGATTTCTGACAGCAAAGTCAATAAAACCAAATTGATCAAATAATAATATTTATCCAAAAGGAATTTTCCTGGTTGTTGTCTGCATTAATTCAATCCAAGCTGGAAAGTAAAGGGTCAGATAATTTTTTGGTTTCATGTGTAGAAGAAGTAATGGTAATAAAATAAACTTTGATAAATCTCTAATTCATAAATAATTCAGTGTTTTGCCGTGTATCAAAAACTGGTGATAAAGCTTCTTCTAAAGCTTTATTTGTATGAATCCTGGGTTTTCGTTTTCGTTGCTACGTTGATTAAAACAAATGGAAATGATTTGTTCTTCTCGCTAAACGGTTTATTTCAGGTTTAGGATTATTTTTATTACATTATCATCAATATTATATCTTTATTTACTTTTATGCTCTTGCTCCCTCCATCTTCATTATCATTATTATAAGTGTTTTCATTGCTATTATTTACATAGTCGCCCGTTAATCTGAAGTTCGTTAATCCTAAACACAAAATCTATGTAAATTTACCAAAGAAAAGTGGCAGCGCGAATGCTTTCGGATTGACGGAGCTGGCTATGTATAATATCCACATTTTCTGTATTATTATTATTACCATTATTAGGATACTGTGATGTGAAGGTTCAAAGTTCTATAAGTATAACATCAAATTTTTTTGTTAAACTTATATCAACAATGATTTCTTCGTCAATGATGTTTTTTGAAAACATATAAATAATTAATCTGTGATATAAAATCTTTCAGGTGATGAATACCTTTCTCTATCGATTACATATTCATGGCTTATTTTATTTTGATGATTTCTAAGAAATAGATAAATATCGAGTCAAAGTTTTAAAACTAACTCGATAAATTTAGCTCCAATTCGATTTCTATATTGTTTTTATATTTATGGTAATCTTTTGGGTTTATTAATAACTAATGACGAAAATTGCTAAAAATAATATATAATAACAACAACAACAACAACAATTAATCTGTGGTCATTGTTGTGAGTTTGTGCACGTGAATTTAAAATTCACGCATAATATCATCACTGTACATATTAATATTGGTTCTATCGTATTTCTATCTAGAAAAATGTAAAAACAATTAATCATTTGAAGTTGTTGTATCTCATTATACTTTGTACTTTTACGTAGGTATGATATAAAAACACACATATATGAAACAAACAAGAAGCAAATTTGAACAGCCATTGAGATCAAATTTTTACCTGATAATTCTTTAAAAGAAACGATAATTTAGTATATTCCTGTCAGGTCTTACTTTATTAATGAGAAAACAATTATCCTCGCCATTACCCCAATTCGATATTATCAGTTTGATGAATTTGTATCAACGATAAGTCAGGAAATATAATATTTTTATTTTGCATGCAATTTATAGACATTCAAAATACAAAATATTTTTAACACATCAAGATCTGATGTACCTGGCCAGAATAACTGGAAAAAATCAATTAAAAAAAGGACGCGCACGGAAAATTGCATAAATGAAAAATAAATTATTAGACATTTTTCAACATTATTTTCACGACGATTTAAATTACCATCAAAGAGTTCAAATATAATTCGCTCATTCTTTTCATTTTATAAATATACAATGAATTACTTTGTTAAAAAACATGATGACTATATAAAAAAAACCCCAGCTGAAATTCTACAATTGATTTATTCTAATGAAAAATTTAAGGAATTGAAAAATATCTATCTAAAAAAATTTTATGATTATAGTAAAAAATTATTTCAGTCAAATGAATTTGAGTCATTGGAAAAACCAATTCTACTGGAAATTCTCAAAAGAGATGATCATCAGGAAAATAAATCTCGTGTAAACCTACGCAGGGTTTAAAACTGACCAGCATTGTGCGGAAATGTTAACAGAATTACCAAAATATCGACATAATGCTGGCCAATTCTGAACCCTACGTAGGTTTATGTAAGATTTATTTTCTTGATGATGTCTTTGTTGATGAAATAGTTATTTAGGAAGATGTTCTTAAATGGGGATTATCAAGACATCCCAGAAATCAATAAATCACAAAATTTTATTGATTTAAGTAACACAATAAAGGAGCTTATTTCTTTAATAAGATTTCAGGTTATTTCTAATGAATAAAATTATGCCCTATCAGAAACTTTTTCTGGAACAACATATTATATTATTCAGTTCCTAATAGTCAACAAGCATTAAACTTATTGCCATCAAGAAATCCAAAATTTGAATCAACAACAATTAATGAACAGCTTACTTTGCTTTTTGCAAATTGGATTGATAGAAAAAGTACACCATATACTTTGTTCAGGGAAGTTAAATATAAATTTAAACTTTTATATCATAGTAGTAGAGATGGTTTAGATCATACAATATTTCATCAAAAACGTGATAATATCAACAAAACTCTTGTAGTTAGTAAAATACAAAATTCAAATCAAATAATTGGTGGTTACAATCCACTTGATTGGAATGAAACAGGAAATTTTAAAGCAACAAGTGAAAGTTTTATATTTAATATAAATGATAGAAATAATATCAATACTGCAGAGTTGTTGATAATTCTTGTGCAATTTTTTGTTATTTTTCTTATTTACCCGCTTTTGGTGGTGGTAGTGATATTTATTTTCAATCAAATAACATTTATGGTGTTCCAGAGACTTATAATGACATCAATGTCAATGTAGTACAGTGTTTCTAAAAAAAAAGGGCCCGTACAAAAAATTTCATATCTTGACAATTATGCAAGATAAACAAATAAAAAAATAGATGTGATATGCTATTGCCAATTTTCTATAAAGCTAATTCATATCTTTTTTTTAAAACTTTGCAAAATTTTTGCCTCTGAAATTTTAACACGGAAATTTTTAATAATAAGCCTGACACAAAAATATACATAATAATCATACAAAAAATTATACCAGTGTGTAATGAAAGTTCTGGAGAATATATATATAAACTTTCATACTTCCAGATTTTCTAGAATTTTGTCAATTGGAAATAAAAGGAATTTGATTATTTTGAAAAAAACAATTTAATGTGTAAATTTCTTTAATAATTGCTCTAAAGCCTACATAATAACATGCTTCAAAAATTTCATATGTTATAATCTAAGATCCTCCGATTCTCTGTTATCATATAATTTTGGCTACTTTTTCATTAAAAATAATCATTGTACTTTTTAATACGTATTATTTGTAAAATTTTCAAATTGCTTCAAAAAAAATCGGACATGCACGAAAAATTGCTTCCATAAATCTCTTCAATATTAACAGGTTTGGACCAACCATTTTTTACAAAATTTAAAAGTCGAAAAGACACATATATTCATTTCAGAATAAACTTACACTAACCAAAAAAAAATTGCTATAAATTTTGAAACCTTGCTTGACTTTTCAAAAATATTAATAATGCATTTACAACATAAATAATCATTCTTATTCTAGCGTCATATTACTATTTTTATTACCAAGATCATACTTGCCAACTATATTTTAACTTTATTGAATAAATGATGTCCTATTCTAATACTAGTGGGATAGTAATAGGGCTTCTATTCGAATAAAACTAGCAATTCGAATAAAATGAACGATAATAATAATAATAATTCGAATAATCCAATCCAATTAAAAAATTTTATTCTTTATCAATCTATTTTTCCTTGGTCCTTGAATATAGTGATAATAATAAATAGTAGTAACTGACATTTTCCTTAAGTCATAGTATTAGCAATTATAGTAGTAATATAGATTATAAATATAATTATTGTTTATATTATCTTTTTAAAGAAATAAGACCTATATTTTATAAAATGAATAAACTAATAATTTGGATAAAACGAATAAAATGAATTCGAATAAGAATTTGTATTACGAAAAGAACCCCTATATGGTATTACTTGGCCATTTTTAGTACACTTGAACTTTATATTATAAACTTTATAAAATCATACATAAAACATTAAAATATTGCCAGTATTAAAAAAAAGTAATCCCCTACGCATTTATTAGTAAATAAATTATTATCAAAAAACAAAGAAGCTGAAATGTAAGATCACTCACTTGATGCTTTTGGAATTTATTGTGCGTGAAATGAAATCTATATGAAAATTAAATTAGCCAATCCTCCAAGGCTTACCGGTTTAAATGTCAAGCATACTTGTATAATGAATGATAAGTTGGAAAATACATCGGAAATACCATGGTGGGACTAAAGACTACCTCCGAGGCAAAATATATTTTATTTTGAGATCAAACTTTGTCGTACGAAAAAAGGAAAATCAAACTTGAAAATTTTTGTTACTATTACTATTTTAGGCCAACTGATCATTTATTTAGTATTATATATAGAAACAATAAATTTTAATCAGTCGAAATTAACCATTCTATTTTTAGATTTACGGAAATAAAGATATCTCGGGGGCATATTACCAATTATGTTATAGATTAACATTAAACATTATTGTATAAAAAAAATTTTTTTGATCGAAGCCCTGGTGATTTTTGCTGGAGGTCGCCCAGATGATTATGATCAAGAATTAATTTTAACAGATAGATAATTTAAATCCTTAAAAAACGCGTTATATAACAAATTATTTATTCGGTGTGACAATGTGTCTCTCCCACGCGCCATTTTGGCCAACATGTATGCAATTCGGCGTGTTTAAAATTGAGGTACAAATTTCCCGATTGAACATGATGCTGTTTGTTGTCAGTGTGTAAATATTGTGGCCTGTTAATATCTACAAATATAGCTTTATTATTACCATTAATTTTACCATTTCGTTCGCAACACAATGTATATAAACAAAAAAAAAAAATACTAATACGAGATTCTAACATAATGAACTAAATACTATGCGTGAGATTTTAATTAGTAATGATATATAATGCTTACATATTAAATTAGGGACGAGGACGGTTTATAAACTGCAGTTTGGTTAACAAATTGTAGTTCAAATTGCTCAATTTGACTCGGAATTTAAATCGCGGTTTTATAATTTATATGTTGTAATATATTAAACATCTTTTCGTCAAAATGTCCAACTTTCTAAGCATAATAATGCACATGAGGTTTCAAGGGTCAAAAAGACTTCTTAATTTATACCTACAACGGAGTAAGGTTTTGTGCATGTACATCACCACACGAAAGGGGGTTGCACTTGATCTTCATTTGGTAAATTACAACTTTAGCGACTAATTGAGCAGATGTCCATTCGGATATTCGTTTCGGATATGTTTTTTTAAAACCTCCTTCAATTAGTTCCATATGCAACTGTACAAATACGACACTTTTGAGTTTCATCATTTCTTGAAAGAAACGTATAAATTTGAATTACAAGGCTATGTCGGTTGGTGTAACATATATAAATTGACAATTAATTGTAATTGTTGAACCGAACAGCATCGATCCAGGTTTAAACCTTGATTAAACCGGTTTTAGTATGGGTTAAAATTATCCTTACATTAAATTTAGCAACGGGTTTATATTTATATCATTTCACATTTTCCAAACATGGATTTCAATTCCAGAGATGCATGATTATTTACATTATTTATTTGATTTGCTAATATTTGCCGATCAACCAAGCAAAAGATGTATTGAAATTGGTGAATCGATGAATCAATCATTCAATCAATCAATGAATGATTGAATGATGATTAATTAATTAAAAAAAAAAATCGGTCATTATCCTTACAACCTCAATTGTAATAAGAACATCGTTTAAAAATAATAAAGGAGATGGATGACGATGTATTAGTTTAATGTTGTATAAATTATGATTTGTTCGATTAGATGAGTATGATAATAAATGTAAATATTAATTTATTTCTGGTAGTAATAATATTATTATAATGGGTTTTGTCAGTGAAAAAATGATGAATGTTAATAATTTTTTTTATTTTTATTCTTTTTTAAAATATTATAAATAATTTTAGTTCATGACGTAAACTTATAATATATATATATATATATATGTGTCATTTTTTTTTTAAAGAATACAAATAAAGAATAGTAACGTAACAAAAATGCGTGCATGATCTTATTTTATAAATAAATTTTATGCATACACACAAAAATACAATTTTAAATTTGGGATTTTTAAATAAAGAAATAGTATAAATAATATAAATAACTAATTCTTCGGAATATTTAATTCGATTGTATTTATAATAATTTTACATATTCAAGTTTTTTTGGAGGGTATTTAATAAATTAATAATTACTTGAATTATATATTTTCTGGTTTGTTTGGACGTTTATTTATTATTTATATTATTTATTATTATTATGTGTAAATTAAAAATTTAATTCTTTTTCATAATAATAAAAAAAAAACTCTCTTATTTCTTCGTTCATTCCTATTTATTTATTTATTATTATTATTATAATTATATTGGTTCTTTAGAAAAAGAAGGTTATTTTCTCTTTTCTAAATGACATATATATTCAAAACATTTTTCAAAAATTAATAGAAAATAATAAATAATAATCCGAGCATAATAATAATAATAATAATAATAATAATAATAATAAATATTTAGTTATATACTCTTTTCTTTAGTTTAATAATCTATATTTAAATTTAAAGTTAGCTATTTTTTTGTTAAAATTATATAATCTTTAGATAATATCATATATAAAAAAGTGAAAAGAAAAAGAAAAAAAACACGTAAATAATTCACATATAATATAACGAGCGAAATTAGAGATAATTTAATTAATTAATTTTTTAAAATAATATCGTTTATTGCTACAATTATATAACTCACGTACATAATTTCACACATACATAGTATATATACACGGCATATTGATAATTTAAGAAAACCAGATAAAAAATAATGACAGATAGAAATTCAGGTTCATTTCAAAATAAAGACACTTCAAACAACAATAAAAGAATATCGTCAATAATAACTACTAATATTCAAAATCAATATTCAAATCAAAATCAGAATGTATATAAAAATCAAAATCAAAATCCAAATCCAAATCCAAATTTAAAAAAATCAGTATCTGCTTCATCTTCATCTTCATCAAATACATCATCAACATTATATAATAATAGATCGCTATCACCATCATCATCATTAACTGTATCACCACTACGTAGTATAAATAATTACAGTGATCCTTTTGATGATTCTACTACTTCAAAATCTTTAATTGCAAACGATTATCGCAACAACAATAATAATAATTCAGAGAATGGGTTGAATAATAATAACAATAATAAAATTAATTTGACAGCATCAAAGGATCCAAGCCAGAATCAAAAATATCAAAGTTTTTCACAAGATTCGGAAAATTCAAATTTTAAAAAATCAAAAAGAATTTCTTCAATTTTACCATATTATAATAATAATAATAATAATAATAATAATGACAGAATAATAAAAGAAGAAGAAACGGGCGATTTGGAAAATCATGATCATCCTACAGATTTCTTTAATGATGCCTATAGAGTAACCAGTGAAGTTGATGGTAATAGTAAAAGTAAAAGCAAAAGCAAAAACAAACGTAATACTATTGTTTCTACCGCATTAACAACTGGTAAGCATTGCATAAAAATATAGATTTATTAATATGTGTGTGTGTGTGTGTGTGTATATATATATACAAGTGTATACATTTATTTAGATAATCTGATCGATTTTATTTCTATTCCTTTCCTATGTTTTTTCTTGTTCTTCTTCTGTTCTTTTTAATATATTCAAGAATGATCAAAAACTCTTTCAACTAATAATATCTTTCCTTTATTATAAAGGAATCAAATCTGAAAATTTAGAGATGGAGGTTCTCAACAAAAATCATAAAGAGGATGACGAAAATGCCAACAGCGGAAATAATAATAAACTTAATAAAATTCCATCTATCTCAAAGAACTATAGACCTCGTCCAAATGATAGCACAAATAATAACAGTTTACAAGTACCAAAAATAAGAACAACTCTTGTACTAAATAATGATATTGATTATCATAACAACCATAACGACGTCAACAACAATAATTATGGTAATAATAATAATGGTCAAGACATACCGAAATCTGAATCAGGACCTCGTAGACAAAAATCTCTTATAAGACCTGAGCGTGCAAGGAGAAATCAACGTAGAATAAGTAGAGGTGTGACAAATTTTGCTGTCGATGATTCCACTGAGAGATGGAGTATCCTTCCTCCAAATGCTCTTAATATTACTGCTAATGGCAGTGTCGGGGCTGGTGGTAATGGCGACGGTGGCGATGAGAGACGTTTGAGTCGACCACTTAATAGAAGACTTTCAACGAGAGAACCACCTAAAAAAAGAAAGTGGTATAAATGTCAATGCTTTTCCACTTGGTTAATATATACCAACTGTGTCACTTGTTGTATTCCTCCTTCTCTATTATCTTGTTTTGGTATGCATGATAAATTGGTTCAAAGAGCTTGGAGAGAAAAAATGGCTTTGGTATCTATAATATTGATTCTTTGTGCCGCCGTGGGTTTCTTGACTTTTGGTTTCACTCAAGCTTTATGTGGCATACCTCCACCAAGAGTTCGTGTAGGCGGTGTCAGTCTGCAACAAGCTGTCATACTAGGTAGTATCTATGATCTAACCGACTATCCACATCCTGTTGAATTACCTGATATCACTGAGAAAAAGGGCGGGAATTTATTGAATGGTTTGGCCGGTGGAAAGGATATATCATTTTTATTTCAAACTCTAAATAACGAATGTAAAAATATTCTAATACCCAAAAATGGAAAACTTCAAAACTATTTCCCTTGTAATGCAACTGATGCAATTGATGATTTTTCGGATCTTAAGCCTACTGATAATCCTATTAATTTTGGGTGTCATGATGTCGACGTTTCAAAATCTGATATTAATGCTTTAATTTATGTCGGTGACGTATTTTTCGATTGGGATGATGTACAAAGAGGTGATCGCAATTTTGTTGTTCATAATGGTAATGTGCTCGATTTGGGAAAACTTAAATATTTGGTTCCAAACATTGAGATGATTCCGTTACTAAAGCAAATCAGTGTGACCGAAATTGACAATTATCGAGGTCGTGATCTAACTTATTACATGCAGCAAAATGTGGATCGCATCCAATTAGCAAAATGTTTAGAGGAGACAATCAGAGTTGGTGTTGTAGATTTTAATTCAATAGGGTGTATGATCACTGATGTTGTAACTTATGTTTCGTTGATGGTAATCGTTGGTGTGGTATTGGTCAGATTTTCTTTGGCCGTATTGTTTGGTTGGATATTAAGTTGGAGATTGGGCAGTTTTCGTGAGGAAACCGCAGAGGAACTTGCTATGCGTGAACGAGATATTGAAAAATGGTCAGATGAAAATGTACATTTTAAACCACCACCTGCTCCCTCTTCTCCCGCCACTAACAACAGGTATATATATATATAGTTTTGTTGAGTTGTATTGTATTACCATATCAGTTACAAAATCAATTAATTAATTATTCTCTTTTTTAGAAATTCGTTCAAATTTTTAAGTACATCAAGATATTCAACTCAATCACCAGGTACTGGAACTTATGATCGTAACAGAAGAGTAGACAATCGTTCCACAAGGATGTACAATTTGCCGAATGGGAATGGGTCCGGTGAGAATATTTTTAATAAAAACAGTTCAACTACTTCCCTTGTAAGACCGTTATCTACAACTAATAGTTTTAACACAGGACACTTTAAAGAAACGGATTCAGGAAGGACAAGTCGTCGCTCTTCTATCAACGAGTACAATCACACTCGTACTGACTCCATGTCATCTTCCACTTCATCTCTTGCCCAGACTTCTTCTTTCCAGCAATTACCCCAAGAGCCTGAACAACGTTTTAATTTCCCGCTTATACACACTATATTATTGGTCACTTGTTATTCTGAGGGTGAACAGGGCCTTAGAACCACTCTGGACTCGTTGGCTAATACCGACTATCCCTCTTCACATAAGCTTATTATGGTGATAGCTGATGGTATAATAAAAGGATCAGGAAACGATAAATCAACTCCAGATATTTGTTTATCATTGATGAATGACTTCTTCATATTACCAGAATTGGTACAAGCTCACTCCTATGTTGCTATTGCTGATGGTAAAAAACGTCATAATATGGCAAGAGTTTACGCTGGTTTCTATAGTTATAAAGATTTGGAAAATAAAACTAAACGCATACCAATGGTAACTGTTGTAAAGTGTGGTGGTCCAGAAGAACAGGACGACAAGAAACCTGGTAATAGAGGAAAAAGAGACTCTCAAATTATTTTAATGGGCTTTCTACAAAAAGTCATGTTTGATGAAAGAATGACACCTCTTGAGTATGAGTTTTTTAACGCAGTTCGTAATGTTAGTGGCGTCACACCAGATTACTTTGAAATTGTTCTGATGGTAAATATTAAAAAAAAAAGGAGAGGGAGATTTTTTTTTAATATTTGCGCTTTAAATAACGATTTATTTTTATTTTTTAATTTTAATTTTATAGGTTGATGCTGATACTAAAATTTATCCTGATTCATTAACTCGTATGATTGCTTGTATGTCAAGAGATCCTAATGTAATGGGACTTTGTGGTGAAACAAAAATTGCAAATAAAACTGATAGCTGGGTTACTGCAATTCAAGGTAATTCATCTAAATTATTAAATAATGCCATTAATAAATCATATTAATAATTATAAAATGTATGTTTATTAACATTTTTATTGTTTCATAGTTTTTGAATATTATATTAATCATCATATGCAAAAAGCATTCGAATCAATATTTGGTGGTGTTACATGTTTACCCGGTTGTTTCTGTATGTATCGTATCAAAGCACCAAAAGGACCAAACGGATACTGGGTACCAATTTTAGCAAATCCAGATATCGTTGAACAATATTCTGAAAATATAGTTGACACACTTCACAAAAAAAATCTTTTACTACTTGGAGAAGATCGCTACCTAACAACCCTGATGCTTAAAACTTTTCCTAAAAGGAAAATGATGTTTGTGCCACAAGCTATTTGTAAAACAATTGTCCCAGACACATTTAAAGTTCTGAGATCTCAAAGACGTAGATGGATCAATTCAACAGTTCATAACTTGTTGGAACTTGTGCTGATACCAGATTTGTGCGGTACATTTTGTTTCTCTATGCAATTTGTCATATTTATGGAATTGGTGGGAACAGTGGTGTTGCCAGCTGCAATTACATTCACAGTGTATCTTGTCATCATATCGTTTGTTAAACGTCCTGTACCAGTGATACCTCTATTACTTTTAGCAGCTGTTTTAGGTTTGCCAGCCGTGCTTATATTACTCACCACACGAAAACTTATTTATGTTGGATGGATGTTGGTTTATTTGTTTTCGCTACCGATATGGAATTTTGTTTTACCTGTTTATGCATATTGGCATTTTGATGATTTCTCATGGGGACAAACGAGAGTGGTTGAGGGTGAAGTCTCTGGTGAGGATCATTCACGTAAAGAAGGTGTATTTGACAGTTCGAGAATAGTGATGAAGAAATGGGCAGAATGGGAAAGGGAAAAACGAATGAAGATACGTAATTCACAGTTAATACCTTTCTCAACGGCTCAAATGTCGCCCGATGAAAATTACAATAATGTACTATCATCAGCATCATCAATAACATCAACACCTGCTACACTAACTACAACACCACCTTCGGCTTTTGCTTCCTCAAGGCCTACATCTGTGATATCAAATTTTGCTGGTTTCGACAAATCATATTTACAATCAGCTCCACCATTACCATTTAATCCACGTGGAGGAGTTAGTAAACGTACAAGTACAAGGCCCCGGGCTGATTCTTTGATGATACCACCACCTTTAGCGGGAGGTCCAATATTAGGAAATAATAATGTTTTTACTAGTAGTCCTGCTAGCAGTTTAATGTCATCACCTCTTAGTTCGGCTCGTAGTAGTGTAGTATATCATGATAACCACAATCATAGTCATAGTAATAGTAATAATAATAGTTCAACAAATTCACCTGTAGATGTATCACCTTATCATCAACAACAGCAACAAAAACATTTGGGTCGAGGTACTTTTAATACTATTAATAATAGTACCAGTAGTAATTACAATAATAACAATTATAACAATAATAACAATAATAACAATTTTAATGATAGTGATAATAATTCAAATAATTTAATTTAATTAATTTTAATTTTAATTTTATTTTATAGAATATAATTTATAATTTTATAATAATTAATGTTGTGAATATTTAAAAACAAACAAAACCGTTGACGTTAATAATAAGTGACATTTACGAGTTGAAATTTTTTTTTTTTTAGAAATTTATATACATTCAATGCTTTTATGGGCTTTATCTTTTATTTTTTTATATATATTCGTTGTAATTTTAAAAAATACATCATAAAATATAAATTTATAATAAAAAATGACAAATGATGATGATTTGAAAATCATCGTTTTTAATCATCCTCTCCTACTGGTAGTGCACATTTGTCAATTTTCTATATGCCATCTCCTAGCCAGTTCATGGTATAAAAATTTAGTTTTAGGCGTGATGATTGGAATATAATCTATTAGTATAGACCCATATACTATACTTTTCCATGTTTCTGCATATACAATAAACTAACCAGCCATAAACAATTAATTACATCCATTTGCCAATGATCTAAATACTCATTAACTTATCAGTAAATCGTTTTTCTGACAAGCTAGAATTCCAAGGGGTCCCAAGCCTCATCATTGATAAACTTATTGCAGCCTTTGCAAGAGTCCCTTTCGTGTCAGCACATCTTCCAATCCTTACTTTTGCAAGAGAATCTTTATTTTCATTATGTGCCTTATCTGTTTCAATGGCTTGTATTCCTATATTTGAAAAATCATCAACACTAAACATTTGAAATACTATCAAGAAAGAAAAAAATGTAAATGATTTACTCCATGTATGATCAGATTCAGAAATGTTGTGTACATCTTTAATTCCTCCTCTGTTAACAATATAATAATCCAAGATGTGAACATCTTAATATATAATTCACAAAATACAAATCACATACATAACATCTAGTTTTTTAATAATCATTATCAAAAAATTTTTGAACCCATATAATTTGAATATTTTTGATCTGTCAAACCCCACCCATATAGACTTTCTTTTGTCAAATCTAGTATCCTCCACCTAATACGTATGCCTAAAATATCAAACAAACAAAAGGCATAGTATTAATTAACCTCCTTTAAAACAATGATGTTAAACTTGTGTGAATACTTGTCAAATTTTTGGTAAATTTTTTTTTATAAAACAATAGGAATTCATTACAGGAAGTTTTGTAAACCTTGTTCTCGAATTTACCTCCCGAATGCAGGAAAGTAAAAATAGTTTCAAATGTGCTTTTTTTAGTATCGGGGTGGATGGCAATGGGAATACCACGCCCATTATCCTCGACAGTGATAACTCTTTGGTCAGCGGAAAGAGTTATTTTTACTTCACTACAATAGCCCGCTACTGCTTCATCAATCGAATTGTCAATTACTTCTTGAAAAAGGTGGATAATAACATCTTCAAGTGTTTTCTTATATTTCCTATGTTCCTTAACTCTATCTTTAGTGAAGCCATCTGAATATTGTTTATATTTCAAAGGAAGAAAACAGCAACCAGGCTGTGTTTTCCTTGAAATATGCTTGCATTTTTGGATCATAGTATTGTGTCTCTAAATCAACTGGTAGGTATCATGGATAGTTAGTTAGTTTACAATGGTATTAATATATAGGATTATTACAATCATTTTTGATTTGGTTTGTTATTATGATGCATGAGAATTCATTATTAATAATTGCAACATTTTGTTTATCTAATCTAGTCAAATTTGTTTCTTTATACTAGTAATACCAGTTAAGAAAATCAACCGATCATGCGACTATTACACATTACTACTACTACTATCAATATTAATAACATTAAATAATAAATTCCCTCGTGGTCCTTTTATATAGTAATGATAGTAATAAATAGTGACATTTTCTTATGTATAGTACTAATAACTATATTATTAGCAGTAATATTATAAATATAAATTATTATTATCTTGTTAAAGGAAAATAATTTTACAAATAGTTAAAATCCCTCAACAATAATATTAATATAGAATTTATTGCATCAAGATGTGAATTAATATTTTATAAAACGAATAAACGAATAATTCGAATAAACAAATAAAACGAATAAAACTGAATAATAATAAAACGAATAAAACGAATAAAATGATAAAACAAACGAATAAAACGAATAATTCTAATAAAACACATAATCCGAATAAACGAGTAAAATGAATAATTCGAATAAAACAAACAATTCGAATAAAACAAAAAATTCGAATAAACGAATAATTCGAATAAAACGAATAATTCGAATAAAACGAATAATTCGAATAATTCGAATAAAACAAATAAATGAATAGAACAAATAAAAGAATAAAACAAATAAAATGAATAATTCAAATAATTTGAATAAAACGAACAATTCAAATAAAATGGACAATTCAAATAAAACTAAAAAGAATAATTCAGATAAAGAATTTGTATTAACATTAATATTAAAAATGTGTAGTTGGAAAATGGCCTATTCCAAAATTTTTTATTGGACATTCTAAATTTTATCAGGATTCCTGGAATTTTATAATAGGATTTTGCTCCCGTCTTCATCACCTTGTTTGATGCTAATACCCTTTTTGTGTACACAGTGAGTCTCGGTATAGCGGATCTCGGTATAGCAGATTTGGGGGTTTAGCGGATAAATTTTCAAAACCAAATTTTTCTATAATAATAACAACGATTTTATCTCGGTTTAACGGATTTAACGGATTTAACGGATTTTTCATATTAATACTAATCATTAAAAACAATTTCGGCTAACATCCTTAGAATAAACACCGGTCTTGGGGAAATTCTTGCTCCTAGCAAAAAAAATGAATGAAGGTATTTTTTTCTTACACAGAAAATAACTATTTTAAAAATATGTAGTATTTTTACATCATAATTTAATATTTTGCTTTATAATACAATAATACTTAGCTAAATTCTATAAAGGTAAATAAATACTTTACAATGCAAAATAAACATCATCTAATTAAATAATAATAACCAGGGGGCAAGTATTATATTATAATTTAATTTTTACAACACAAAATAAACATCATCTAATTAAATAATTTGTTTTTTTTATTTCATAGAGTAAGTATTATATTTGGGACATACTGCAACAAAACCAGACAAAGTGAACATTATATTGCACACATTACAGGGATCAAAATTTAGTGTAATTTGCAATTTATAGACATTCAAAATACAAAATATTTTTAACACATCAAGATCTGATGTACCTGGCCAGAATAACTGGAAAAAATCAATTAAAAAAAGGACGCGCACGGAAAATTGCATAAATGAAAAATAAATTATTAGACATTTTTCAACATTATTTTCACGACGATTTAAATTACCATCAAAGAGTTCAAATATAATTCGCTCATTCTTTTCATTTTATAAATATACAATGAATTACTTTGTTAAAAAACATGATGACTATATAAAAAAAACCCCAGCTGAAATTCTACAATTGATTTATTCTAATGAAAAATTTAAGGAATTGAAAAATATCTATCTAAAAAAATTTTATGATTATAGTAAAAAATTATTTCAGTCAAATGAATTTGAGTCATTGGAAAAACCAATTCTACTGGAAATTCTCAAAAGAGATGATCATCAGGAAAATAAATCTCATGTAAACCTACGCAGGGTTTAAAACTGACCAGCATTATGCGGAAATGTTAACAGAA